ATCTTTATGCTTGTGTCTACCTACTCAGTCTGTAGAAAAAAACAAATTTCTTTAGGAAGCACAAAAATAGTTGTGTGTTTTTTTAAAAAAAATCTTATTTTTAATCATGCATATGTATTTCCTTTTAATCTCCTTGTCTTCTATTAATTTCTATCTGTACAGTTTTGTCACCATCAATTTATATTCTGCACTTGAAGTAGTTCCAGAAAAAAATCACACCACCCAAAACCTCAAAACTGATCACTTGAAAATATGGTTTCCTTTCTTCCCTCCTTCCTTTCCTTCCTTCTCTCTAACACAGGTAAGACCTATAACAAATGGACAGTTGCAACCAAGTTAACTCACACCTGGAAGGGAGGTAGCTGAAATCTGTCTCAAAGAATCATTTTCCACAAACAGCATTTATGCATTGGCCAGGTGGGACCGAGACCAAGAGCACTGTCTAGGCAGTGACGCAACCCGCTGCAGCCAGGAGCAGCAGCTGAGACCCTCCATCCTCAAAGCCCTGCTCTCCATGAACACTGGTCTCTCCCATCCATCACACCCATCAGCCACCGAAACAGGCTTCTCAAGGACGGTCTTCCCCTAAGAGGTGGTTGGCACCGAATCTGGGGTGGGGGTGGCAGTGGGGGTGGGGTAATACAAGTCCTCTGGGCAGGCAGGCAGGCAGGGTTGTGGCTTAATAAGGCTTCCCAAGAGAGGGCTTGGAGAGCTGTCTACCTCATCTCCTTCCTTGCTGCTAACAGGCTAATCTTTCTATAGACACAGGACCCCCAAGTGCTGACAGACAACAGGGCTTCCTCCTGGTACTCCCTTTTCCTAAACAGGAGATGATGGGAAGATGAGACGATCAGTTTATTCCCAGAAAGAAAATGAAATTGGGTGTCAGTGCACTGCATGGATAGAGCAGACCCAACTCCACCAAGGTGGGAGGAGGGCCTATTGGTTACACCTCCCATGTGGGCACGAGGCCGGCCACCAATCCAGTAGCCTCTCTTGCTCAATGGCCTTGGCAAAAGGGAATTTGCGAGTGACAGGTTTTGAATGATGGTAAGGAGACCGACCAGGTGGAAGTTTGCTCAGAGGGCTCAACTCCATCTGGAGATAGACGTCCGCCTTCAGGAAACACCACTCAGCTGGAGAAGGTGGGGACAGATAAGGGGGAGAGGGAAAGGAAGAAAGAGGACGGGGGTCCATTTAAGGGAAGCTGGTAAGGTCCATCAGTCATGTTGTCTTGGGGTCTCCAAGGCTTTTTGCATTACGTACTGGTGTCATAACAATGTTATTTTTCTTAGTTCATATCTTCAACCTAATACCACACGGGGTGATAACTCAGAGCAAGAGAGGGGCCTTGAGAGTTGGAAAGAGCTCTTAGACACTGGAGAGGCGTACAGAACGGGATGAAGTCTTCTATTATAATTATTAGTTTGCTAATAATTGGCCCTGGTAATTATAGAAAAAAATGCCCTGAATGAAAATAGGAATTTGTAAGGAAGAAACATAAAGGATTTGAGCCTGGCCTTAGCAATGGTGGCAGCCTCTCCACTCTGGAACTCCGTCTCAGAGTTGGTAATGTAGTGCGAACCACACAAAATTATAAGCACTGTATCCTTATTTGTGGGCACCTGTGCAAAAAGCACCTTGATATATATTTTTTTAATATCACAGACCACAGATGATGGCCAATAAATGTCTTTTCAAGCATCCTTGATCAGTAGGCAATTGCCGTCGGGAGTGATAAAGGAGCTTTCTGAAGTTCTTGTTGGTCCCATGGGAGAAAGCGCTGTAACTAGCAATGCCTGCCTCAGAAGCAGGGATGAGTGGATCAGTGCACATGCTTGGCATGTTCCACTCCCATGCTAGACTGTTTTTGTTGGTTGTCTTCTCTAAACTTGAGAGGACTTGATTTATAGCAATCTTTATGGGCTATGTCTGATTTAGACCTTCCCATCGCCTCACTTTCTCAGTTCCAGGTGTCAGAAATTATGTCAAACTTAACCATTCTCTCCACCTTTTTCTGTATTCATTTCTCCTCATATTCCTCAAAAGGAGTGGATGGAAACTGGCTGAAATGAGGCAAAGAGGGCCCCAAATGGGGGGGGGGATCCTGCGGGGGTCTGACTTACTCTGCACTTTTGGAGGTGGAATGTGGGGGAGACAGAAGGGTTGCCCACCCCCAGGTGTGGACGGGAGCACTGGCAGATGGAAGACTATGGGAAACATCATGACCATTCTGGGTGCTGGGGACCGAGGCTGGCATCCTTGGACTTCCCTCTGATGGCCCCTGGAACACAGTCGAGACTGATCACATCCAAGATGATTCTCTATTACAGGAGGCTAGCTGCTCAGGGCCACCTCGAGGTCCTCAGGACCAAAGCCTGCTGTAGCCTAGACGGGCAGGAAGGCTCGGTGAAGAAGCATAACTCAAGAGTCCTTACAACTCTAACAGTCCCCGGATGACTCTAGCATCACAGAAACATAACACTGTTCCACTTGATTATAAAATCTAACACTGGCTTAGACATTCTGCACTCTCGCTGAGGGTTCCGACTCCCTTCCAGGGTAAGAAGCCCACCCACAGAGGACCACGCTTCTCTCCATGGGGGGCCAAGGAGGGGTTTCTCTTGCAGGAGGACTAGGGAGTGAGGAGCTATGGGGAAATGTGGGTCACGTTTAAGGCAGACTGTTTGGTTGTGTGGGGTTTTTCCTAACCTAGTCCTATCATCTTGGGTTACTCAATGTATAGGATAGAGCAGCAGGAAAAGTAGCAGCAAATGTGGTCCCAAGGCAAGATTTGGGGAATGGATGGGTTCCGGAGGGATATTATGGCCTCATGCCTCAAGCAGGGGGCTCTTATAATACCTTGACATTGCAATCTTAAGCCATTTCCAGCTTGGCCTTAAACCCTGGAATTGGGGTAAGTCCCCCATGGCAGCGGGAAAAATCAGGGGGCTTCGTACACTTTGGATTCTTTCTCCCTGGGCCCTACTTTCCTAGAAGGTAGGTGATCAGAGACCATTTCACTTTCGATCCCGAAGGACTGTACCACTGCACACGTCCTACATATTCTAGGCCTCAGGGTGTGAACTATCTTGGCATCTCAATACTCGGCCTTAGCAGTTTCTGCAACTCTTTCTCCCAAGGACAGTGTTGGCTGGGAGCTTGGGAAAGGAAAGATTGACTTTGTTCCAGTCTCTCTCTGCTCAGTCTCCAAAACTGCCCTCACACAGATGTTTGTATGGGTGTGTATGCATGCATGTGTACTAACCACAGATGTGCACATTCCTGGGCACAGAGCATGTTCCTCGCTGCGGTCATGTGACAAATGGTTAGAGTTTTAGGAGGCTCTGGGACTGCATGCTGTGCATGTGATCCATCTAAGACTGTGGGGTGGGATTCCATGCCATTACATAACATGGCGAGACTTGCTTCGTGCGCCCCCACTATGAGTCCTTCCTGGGTGAAATTAAAGGCAGACCGGTTGGATGCTAAGGATCCCTGGTGTGGAGAGGCCATTCCGTGGAGCAGCTCACTGTGAAATCAATACCAAAGGGATGCGGGTCCTGGCGCTGGGAATTCTTAACTCCTTGTCCTTCCTTAGCCGTGGCTGTATCCGCGGAGGTCTTTCCGGCTGTGTTCTCGGGCCTGGGGGTCCCGACAAGCACAGTCGCCTTGTAGGTCACAGGACATAGGGAAGGGAGTGACCTGCGGAGAGAAAGAGAGGGGAGGTGAACCAGGTGTTTGGGTCTCAAGGAATACTTTTCAAAGAGGCAGCTCAGGGGACAATCGCTAGATTGTGGGGGACAGCAGATTCAAGTTTGAGTCCTGACTTTGCTTCCTTCTAGCCCTATGATAGCTTATATCAAGATCACCAGCGTTGTTATCCTAGCAGCTTTCCTTTCCGTGGCATTTACCATGGGTCAGGCAACGTGCAAAATACTTTGCAAATACGGAAACATCAAACCCTTCGACAACTCTGTAAGACAGATACAAAACAGTCACCATTTCACAGGTGGAGAAACGAAGGCTCAGAAATGGTCAGGCATTCCCCCAAAGTAACAAATGGCAAATCTTGTATTTCCAGTAGGACGAGCCACCTCTCCTTCACCCTCCAGGTGCATAGCTCTGGAAGTGATATGATGAGACTGACTTGCACTATGACCTTTTGGGCTGGATGAAATTGTGGGTGAAGGATTGTAATGCACTATCCCAGAGCTGTTCAGAGAATTGTGAAATGGAATATCTGGTAGGACTGTCGAGGTGATTGGTGAGATGAAGGACGTGAGAGTGTCTTTTAAGAAAACATAGCTCTCTGCACGGATTGGGCATTTCCGTTTTGGGAGGCACGGATGCAAGCCACAAAAGCTCCGCTCAGCAAGAGCCAGGGCACCTGAGAGCCTGTTGGGGACATTTCACATAGAGAGTTTGCATAACATTTGGTTGAAGGACCTAGGGAACAGATTTTAGCAAAAGAAAAGTGAGAGGCATACAATGATTTGCTGTATGCAGATATTACAAAACCTGGGGAAAAGAAGAAATAATGATTTGAAAAAAATTTTAAAAAGAAACAGTGAGAGGCCCTAGTGTCAGTTCCCGCGCCATCCCCTCACGTGCTCTGTGACCTTGGGCCGCCTTCCTTTCTAGAAACAGAGACAGAGCCCAGCCAAGCGAACATCTTCCCCATGCAGCCAGCGAGCTGTCTTTCCTAAGAGCACCGTGCAGCCCCGGCCTGAGCCCAAGCTGGGCTAGCACAAGCCAAGTGGATTTCACCTCATTGCATCATGACTTTCACATCGCACTTTCCCCAGAGGGTCCCCCATCTGCGCAGATGGATTTAGTGACCTCATTCGCCTCCTGCCTGGGTAGGGTCTCCAAGTGCTCACAGAGCCTCAGAGAGCTGTGACTCTCTGGCTTGCGGACTCATTCTGTGTAGCTAACTCTTTTCTCTCTGCCTCTTGGCCCATCCTCCCTCCCTTCCTCCAAACCTCTCCCCATGTCCAAATGTATGGATGAGCAGGAAGATTGAGGTATCAGTCCCAGCAGCTCTGTCATCTAACAGTGTGACCTGGGGCATGTGACAATTTCTCTGCATCTTAGGTAACTCATTCGTTAAATGGAAACAGTGAAAGCATACGTGTCCCTGAGGCTGTGGTGAGGGATGAGTGAAGTAAGTGACAAAAACCACCTACCACACAGTGCTTGACATATGCTCAGAGTTCAACCATATACCTATTTATGCACATATATAGCTTTCCTCCTCCCTCTCGCTTGGTGAGTCAGGAGCCATGTCCGTCCTGTTCATTCTTGTTTTCCAAGGCCTAATCCATAGAACGAGGGAGTGTATGTTCACTTCTCCTTCTCCCTGACTCCTCCTCTGCACCCACAGCCAGCGTACCTGTTTCCCTAGTCAACTGACACCCGCAGGTGCTTGGTGCTGGGGAAGCCTTCTCACAGCTGCCTCTTCCATGCAGTGTCTTTCTGCTCACAACTCCCTGCTGTTCCCTGCTTAGCACCTTTTCTCCCCAACCTCCATGCCCTTATGCAGGCTGTGCCTTCCAATCTAGAATATTCTCCCACAACCGCTCCGCCTCCAGGAGAAGCAAGAGTGTTAGAATGGGAAAAGGCACAGAAAACCCTCTAGTCCGAGTGGGGAAAGTGAAGCAGAGCCAAGACCAAGTCTAACTGATGGTGAGTGGGGAGAGTTCCATCGTGGGAGCTCAGAGGCCTGGGTGGGCACCCTCAGGCCCCATTCTTGCTGAGCCATTTGGGGAAAAGCCCTTCACTGCCATAACCCCGAGTTTCTATATCTGTAAGAGTGCGATTAAAAAAGCACCATATTTCACATGGTTGTGAGGATCAAACAAGAAGAAATATGCAAAAGCCCCAGCACATGGCCTAACACTCAGGAGATGCTTAATGCTAAATACACGTGTGCTGACTCAGATTTCCCACCAGCTCCAATTTCACCATCTGTGACACCTTTCCTGCCTATTGCCACCCCCCCACCCCCGCCTCCCAGACTTGGGCAGCCTCTTTGTCCTCAACTCATCCATCCCTTTATCTGTCCCATTCTGCTGCCCTTGCCCACATCCTAACGTTACAATGATCCAGTTACCCCTCATGTCTCCTGCACAATTCTCTCCATAACTCGTTCCCATCGGGCACTACGACCCACGAGGGACTGTTTCAGTCTGGCTTCTCTCTCATGCATCCTGCCTCACCTCACACAAGCAAAAACTCAACAGGTACTATCTCTTCAACTAAGACTCAAAGTCCTTACCACGGGGTCAAGGCCATGTAGGACCTGCTCTCCAACGCTTCCTAGACCTCACCTGCCCCCCTTCTTCCCCACACTCCTGCGGCTTGTTTATTTGTGGACTGGTTCCTCAAATACTCCGAGTGCTTTCCCACTTCTAAGTCTTTAGCCATTAATGGCCCTCCACCCTGCTCTCTCCCCTGGCAGCTCATTCACTCTGCAGGTCTCATCACCCCCCTCACTGGCCTGACCAATGGCACCCTCACCTCCATCCCATCTCCCAGCACCCTGTCTCCATGCTCCTTGTACTGAAGCACTTCTCATTCGTACGCCAGCTCAGTTGAGGCAGGGATCATGTCTGCTTTGAACTGAATCTTTATATACAGAGATCAGGTGTTCTGTGAACCCAGGATGGAGGGACAGATGGGTGCATGGATAAATATCCAGGCAGCACACAGGCCAGGCAGCCTCTGCTCTTGCCCTCGCTGTCTGGGTGACTTGGCACAAGCCCCTGCCCTTCCCTGAGCTTCAGTTTCCCCATCTTACATTAAGATTGGAGGTTAATGTTCTGGACCTTTCTGTGTCTCTGAAAGTCCTCAGTCTGAGAAAGACAGAAGGCAACTCCTGGGCAGAAAGTACCTAGAGATACACATTCGGCACACGCTCCTTGCGTGCTCCCGTCCTGCCACCCCCAGTTCCACCAGCTTCTCCTCGGCCATTGGGTTCCAGGCCCCTGCCTCCAGCTGGTTTCTTAGGCCGGTCTGGTCACCCTGGCTCTGTGGGTGTGAGTGACCGTTCTCTCTCCTCCCGGGTCATTCCAGGCCGTTTCAGCATTTTCCCAAAGAAATGTGTCTGGCACCTAAGGAAGGAACCCCACACAGAACACAGCCGAGACTAGAAGGTTTGCTCTCAGGGGCAGGTCTGCAGACAGGCAGCTCCTCGTCTCCACCACATGCTGAAGTGCGGCTGCGTTTACGGAGTCCTCCAAGGAGTTTGGGAGCAGACAAGCCCAGCTTGGGGTGGGCACTGCATGGCTTTGGCGAGTCCTTGGCACCCTGTGGACTCACCCCCCCGCCCCCGTCTATAAGATGAGGGTCTTCATAAATACCTCGCAAGATTCTGGGGAGGAGTAATGAAATAATGTTGCCTCCAAACTAGCTTGCAGGTGCCCAGTGCTTTGTCCCCTCCTCCTGCCCTTCGCTCTCCTCTGTGGGAACTGCCTGTCCTGAGCTCTCTCTGCACAAGTGCCCTCCTGATCAAGGTCCTACACCTAGGAAGAGAAGGGAGGCGGTGGCCAGTCCCCCACCGTCCCAGGTGCTCCTGGGTCTGACCTGGATGAGACTGGGGAAGCCCATGTGTGCAGGTCCACAGCAGTGAACATTTTACACACATGCACACATGCATGCAAGCACATGCACATACACGCATGCACACACATTCGTACAGGTTCATAGCAGTGAACACCACTTTCCACACACACATGTGCGTGCACACACACATGCACGTTAGCATTTCCTGAGGGCCTTCCACTTGCAGATGATTGCCACATGCTAGCATGCGGACCCCACACCACCTCAGGAGGCTGTCGTTATTAGCTGCCCATCTTGCAGATGAGAAAATAGAAGCCTCAGAATGTTTACAACAAAGCCCGGCTGCCCTGGGCTTCACAGCCCATCGATTAGTCGATGATGCAGGATTCCAAACCCACTCAAACACTGAGTTTTCAGCGAGTGAGCCAGGGCGAGGTGCCTGCCTCACCACATGGCCGTCAACTACTGCTTTGCCAGATAGACAATAGCCCCTTCTCCCTTACATGTCTGGCCCTCAGTCAACACAATGTGCACTACTGCACTCACCCTTCCCAACAGCCCTACTAAGGCAGCTATTCTGACCATCCCTGTCCTACAGCGCGGAGGAAACTCAGATGCCAAGAGGTGAGTCACTGGCTGGCAAGTAGCCTGGGTTCTGCATCCCTGTTTGTAACCATTCCTCCCTCCTGTCTCCCAAATGGGAGGCAGAGTGGGAGTCAGGGTCCCCTTTTCACAGAGAAAGAAACTGGGGCATCCTGGGTTTCGTCCTGATAAAGTCAGTGCTCAGCAGAAATCCTAGGCCCCTGCCTCCCCTAGTAGCTGCCTGCCTTCTCCCTGACATGGCCTCCCAAGAAAGCCTACCACGCAAGGCACAAGCCCTGCAGTGGCCAGTTTACACCTGGGACGCCTAGTGCCGTGTGGATAGGCCGCCCCAGAAATGCTGGGTCGCCCACTCTGGCATTCTGTCAACAAGCCCAGGTCAATGACTAAGGGCCAGGATTCTCTCCTTTTTCCCTCTGGGCTGAGGATGTCGCTCAGGCACAGGGGTTTCTTCCCCTGGGTGAGCTGCCTGGGCTGACACCTCCACCCACGTGTGTGAGCAGCTCAGGAATGCAGGCTGAGAAAATGTATCACAAGGC